AATCCTGCATGAAAACAAACATTGAACCTGCATGGCTCTGAAAGGCAGTTGATTGCAGAGGCCTCTGTCCAAGTCCCATGTGGGTGTGTTTCCCTTTGGGTGGTCTTTTCACTCCCCAAACATGGTACCCTCAACTAGGGACACAGAGACAGAGAAAGCAAGAGAGAGAGAGAGAGAGAGTGAGAGAGAGAGAGAGATTGGTTTCCCTGTCTCCTCCCGCGTAAAAGACACACAAATGTCAGTGTGTTGATTTTCTTACTTTCGCTAGAAAGCATTTCTCCGGGGCATGGAATTGATCACTTTCTGCATTTTGCAGATCGCGCCTGACTTCTTGAGGATGCGGTCGCAGAAGGAGGACATCAAGGCAGCAAAAGAGAACTGGCCGGTCCCCGGTCAGCGACCGCTCAAGGCCGGGGCGGGGATTCTCTGAACCAACCAAGGGTGTGTCACATTGTTATGTGCGGGTGGTTGGTTAAGACCAGATTTTGGGGGGACCTTACCTGACACCCGTGGGTGTCCACTTGCCTTTTCTTTGGACAACCATAGGGGGGCCGGGGAGGGACTTATACAGAGAAGAAGGGTAACTCGCCGGCTCAATTAAAGAGTCCCACCCTGAAGAATGCTGCTCTGCCACCCAGGGGTCGAAGCTAGGCTGTCTACATCTCTGCAAGTCGAATGCTGAAAGAAAGGCGCAAAAGAAGGAAGCAGACATGGGGCTGCAAAATGGTGCTCAAAGGCAGCACAAAATGGCAACCAATTCCCACAGAGGAGCCTGATGCTTGGCAACCCAATTGACCTCGGAACGCGGGTTCGTTACCAGCAGAGTCCCTTCAGAGGTCCCTGCGAGAGAGTGTTCATGCTGTTCCGACACACCTTCCCGGCAGAGCGATGGCAGCTGACAACACAGCAGGAAAACGCACAATACCAACGAGCAGGACGACGACTGCGGGGTTTTGGCCTAGCAAGTCAAACAGGCGGCTTCGCGAGCTTGTCTAAAACCGGTCCCCCCCAAAATGGTTGGCTTTCGTGGGAGCTCTTGCTAGAAACCCCAAAAAGCGTCAGTTCAGACCATTGGTTTGGATCGACTGCGTAGCGTTACTGTGCAAAAATATGTTCGGGAACCTCGCAACTCGTTTTGCGCTGCCCTTTGTGCGGTTGCAGCCCCAAGTACATGACAGCTCTGCTTTGCAGCCGCGGGCGGAAAGTTCGACCAGGGTTCTCGGGAGGCACACCCTTTGCCTGAGAAACATCCCCTCATTCACAAGTCCCCCCCCCAGTCCATGGTGCTTGCACGGAATTACTTGGGATCCGTCCACGGATCTGAATCCCGGCTTCGCGTCAGACACATCTTGACCCAGCTGCGCATGCAGAAAGTGCACGCCAAACCTGTTGTGTTGGATTCCTTGCAGCCCAAGAGATCCAATACTGTGGAATGTGCATGCTGTGTACATGGCATGACCTGATATCATCAAAACTGGATCTGCGCAGTGTATGATGAGCAAAGCGAGATAGAGAGAGAGAGAGAGAGAGAAAAAAAAAGAGAGCGAGAGCGAGAGCGAGAGCGAGAGCGAGAGCGAGAGCGAGAGCGAGAGCGAGAGCGAGAGCGAGAGCGAGAGCGAGAGCGAGAGCGAGAGCGAGAGCGAGAGCGATGCACACATTCTACCATTCAATTGTGTATCACAATGGATGCAGCCCGAAGCACGCCACACTTGCATTGCCCGCCTTGCCGATGTCGCGGTTCACAAAGACTTCAAAGGCTGGGCGGGCAGGGCAGGTGGGCGTGGCTCGCATGCGTTGAAGCCCAAATGCTATGTGCATCCATCCTCTCTTGTCCTGTGCAATTTTTGGATGAAGCTTTTGGACCGTTGTCCCAGCCTGTTCTTTCAAAAGGCCAAGCAGTTGACCTGAAAATGGAAACTCCTCTCCAAGCGAATCCGAAGCGCCTGGCCTTCTTTCAGTGACTTCTGGAAGAGCGAGTCTTGGGAGAAGCACTCGTGCACAATGCCTGCTTGACAGCTGCCGAAAAGGGCAGGACGCGACGGTAGGGAGGTAACTCTCCAAGCCACAAACAAACAAACGGAGATACCCATTTGCCAGCTTTCTGCATCAAAGGCAAGCACGATTCATCGCGAAATGAGCTGTCCGGCTGAGTTTTACTCAGAAGCCATGCTCATCACAAGCAAAGGGAAAGCCCGGCAAAGGCCATCCTGGGGCCGCAGGCCTTTGAAGCGATCATGCAGCTCCAGCAGCGTCTGGATAAAAGTTGGGTCCTCGGATACACAGAACGTCAATTTGTTAACCTGGTGTTCTTTTCTTTTGTTGCGGGTCCCGTTTTCACCTTGGTTCACAGGGAAACCAACTATTTTGACACATACCCAGTTGAGCATTGGAGCTCTGGGGCGAGCAGATCAGCAAATACTACAGCAAACTGCCGTCCTGCGCAGTCAAATGTGTAGGAAGACTCGGGAGAAACAGCCAAGGTCGAACAAAACGAAAGGAACGAGATCCCAATGTCAGGATCCCTGTTTTGGTGGGAGTTCCAGTGTCCCCTCCCATGTTCTCCCCAAACGATAAAATACCAGTCATTTTGCGAGTCACTCATTTCAGTCTGTGTGTGTTACCCACAGGTTCAAGCGTATGAAGAAAACACCCACTGTTCAAACGACCTCCATAACCTCCCTTCGATTTTGTCAGATTTTGAATCCGGGGCCGCGGCGTTCAAAGCCTCGGCCTTGGAGGAGATGCTCTTCTGCTGCTCCACGCGCTCATCGACGATCTGGTTCCCCCTGACACGTCCCGGCTCCGAGAGTTACGGACGTCTGGAACCAGCCGTTCCGCAAGTCTCGCCTCTAAGCCCCCTTACTTTTGTCACCTCTGGGACAAGCGCCGGCTGGGGGGGTAGGGGCACATGCCAAAAACAGGTCCCAGTTGTAGGAGGACCGCATTGGGCGTGGGTACAAGTACAAGAGGATACAAAAAGATTGGCTGGAACTCTTCAAGAAAAACACGTGGGTGTCCAAGCCTCATCTCCTTGGTGGGTCTCTTTTGAACTTGCCCCTCCCCCCAAATTGAGGAATCTGCTCACCTTCTGAAACCAGCTCATGCTGAAGGTCAGAATGTAAGCGAAGCCCACCCCGCAAATCACTATGGGTGTGCGGCTTTTTTGGGATCCAAAAGGAAAGCCACAAAGTTCGGGGTCCTCCCATTTTGATACATACCTATTCCCGCTTTCTCGGCCTGTCAGTGACATACTGGCGGAAGGATTGCGCAATGGGGGCCAGACCTGACTGCGCAATTCTTGCAAAGCAAGAGGCTTGCATTTCACCCAAGACATTCGGCAGGAATGTGTCTCAAAACAAGCCTCAAAAATTGATATGTTTCCTCTTGGGAACCTTAAAACCCAAAACCCCCAAACACGCGCCCAGTTGGACCCAGTTTGACCCCAGGACCCATACCCCGCAAATTTTGGTTCTCGCCCTTAGCCCCAAGCCGCTTGGAGAGCAATGGAGTTCGCCTTTCTTGCTTGCTCAGTTTGCTTCAAAGGTTACCCACGAACCAATCAAGGCACGCTTAAAGGTTTTGTTTACAAGGAAAACCAGACAAACCATATTTTAGGTCCCGGTTGACATCCTGCGCTCCGAGCCGTTGTCCACCAGCGTGAACATACGATGCATCCGCGCCAGGTCCTGACGACTTGGCCCCGACCTCGGCCTTTGGAGGTGAGCCACGTGTCCAAAATAGGGGACCCACAAACCTTTGGAGCAAGCCCAAGCACTTGCAAAAACATCTCCCAGTGGCCCAGTGAGAAAAGAAACCTAATCAAGTATGTACCCACAAGGCATAGTAGACCGTGTTCATGTTGTAATCGACTGGAAAGTGTGTGATTTGTGTCCTTGCTTGCTGTCCGTAGTTGCACAATCATGACCTGACGGTCGCCGAGTGTTGGCAGCAAACCAACACTCGCCCACGCAGGCGCAAGGTGCTCATCCAGCGAATCGGCAACTTCTCCACATGCGACAGAAGGTCCTCCCGCTTGTCGTTGTCCAGCAAGTATACTACACCCGTCTCCTTCTCCTTGGGCGATCACAAGTCAGCAAGGAGGCGCACGTATGGTGGAGGAATTCGAGCCAAGTCGAAATGGGTAGGGCTAAAGGTAATCATTGAAAGCCAACCTCCCTCGATGAAAACTCCTGAGTTTCGGAGCTGATGAAATCTGGTCGCCGTGACCTGAGGATGGTGCCAGCAATTGTGCCTGTGGCTGGGCAAGAACTGCCTGGATCACAACCTCAGATGCTGTGAGCTGGCACAAGGCCAGGCTTCACAAGGGCTTGAATTTTGGACATGTGGGATCTCCGATGTTGGAATGCCGAAACGAGTGGTTTGATGTGGTTCGCATAAAAATTCACGAACAAAATTGGGAATCAAGTCCACCAACCACTTGAGGTAGTTCTCAATTGGAGATCAATCTACATGAAGCCCTGAATCAGGCCTTATCAGGGGCGCCATCCTAGCCTCATCCAGGGTTAGCCCGCCCCCATCCAATGGGATTCGCAGTCTCATTTTGAAGACCGGGAAAATCAGCACACCTACGCAACCAGCTTCTTTGGGCTGAGGAAACTCCAATCACACAACACGTCCCTCTGGCCCAACCAAGCCTCAAAAAGGTCCACGGCACCACAAATCGCCTGTGCCGCAGCCAGAGGGATGCCAGGGCAACCGAGGCGGAGGCATTCTTCAGCTTGGGAAGCGTCGTCCTGCTTGATGCTTCAGACCAGGCAAGTTCCCCAAAAATTACAAGGGCGCCAGAGAATCCCAACATTAACCATGGCTTGTGGTTGGTTTAAATGTTACATTGTTTGGGGAATCAATAGTACCAAAGGGGTCTACTAGAAGCAATTTAAATATGAAAGCGCAACAAAAAGAACGGTAAAGGCCCGGTGGGTTACGTTCTTAGCCCAACGCCTTGAAGACCTAAAAGACGCTTGTCATGTCTTCGTGTCCCCCAACTGTGCATCTTCCCCTCAAGGCGTCTAGGTTTCAAGGCGGCGCTTTCACGCTTTCGGAATCTCTCTCGAGGCTGCGAAGACACGATTCTTCAGGATGGCAGGCGAAGGAGTCCTGAAACCCTAACGAGCTGAAGATGCGTGTCTTCGCACCATCGCTTTTGCCTCCCTGAAGGCCTGATAACCTGAATATGTAACTTGTTTCTTCGCGTCGTGTCGCATGAACACCTTTATCTCTGAGCCCTGAAGCCCTGAAGCCCTGAGCGGCCTCTGAAACCTTGAAGCCCTGAAATAAGCCCTTGCCTGACACCCTCAAGACGCGTGTCTTCGCATCTTTGGGCCAATTTTCGGGGTAACCCTCTGCGCCTTCAATGAATAGTGTCCCCTATCCTTCAATTGCCAGGGCTTTGATGGCTCGCCAAATGAAGTGTTGACCCCGGCCAGAGCTCGTGATTGCTTCCTGTTGGCGTCCCCTTCACTCAGCGTGAGGTATTGCTGGCACTGGGGGGTTACTGTCTGACGGTTGCACCATACAAACGCAATTGCACGCGTTGTGACCACGTTACTTTCAGAAACACATAAACCCAGGCAAAGTTTGTGTACTCCAATGAAGGAACCAAAGCGCAACCCTGATGGCTGGCACTTGATCCTGAGACTGCCTCTCATGCGCTAAGGCGTGATTCAAGCATTGAGGGAGAATGTCCCGCAAGCCACTTGCCAGGATTTGGATAGGAGGCCCGGTCGCCAACAAGACTGGCCTTTCCCGGCTGTGCGCATTGTGGCTAGAAACCCATCCAAATACTCAAACGAGAAGAAGTGATCATATTGCCAACTTCTGCTTCCCCTCCCCCTCTGTCGCTCCAAACATCACAGCATCAGTCCATCCTGCTGAACGCTGAGGAGCTGCCACACAGAGAACATAATGAACATGGCAAAGAACGTGCTGCGTTCTTGGTCTCTAGGAAAAACAAGAAAGAAAATGACTTGTCCCTCTCTGCCCCATGCCCTCCTGCTGAGGTAGTTGTGACATCTCTGTTCTTCTGCATGGAGCGCGGCCTGTGGCATGGCTCCGGATAACCCCGTGCTTGGACAGTGGCACACATAAATGAAGTGGGCCAAATTGATCCAGCCAACTTGTGACTTGGAATACCTTTTCGTGAGTTGATTTCGGTAGTTGCTCTAATCTCTTATGATTATCGTCCCCGACAGTTGCCATTTTGACGGGCCGTTCTGATAAAATTACGCTTGGATCCAGCCGTTTCCCTTTCAGGGCATTTACAGAGTGACTCTGAGGATGTCATTTTGCACGCAGTTAGTTAGATCTCCGCCCTTTCGCCTCACTTTTCAGCGGTTTCCTTGTCAGCGAGATTTCGATCCGTCTCAAGTTTGGCCCCCTTTGGGCATGGTTTCGTCTTGACTTTCCTTTCACCATCCTTCAAAAGGGATTGGCGTGCTTCCAAACACATCCTCCCATCTCTCAAGAGCCCAAGATGCTCTTGGCATCACACATTGCCTTGGACTGTCCCCCTCCAATTTCCCGGGTGATTCTGGCTGACCTTGCAGCCCCCCAAAATGGATCCAGGCAATCTCCCCACCTCAGCTTTTCGCAGGTACTCTGGGAAGGAATCCTCCGAGAGCCAGCCTCACGGGACTCGGGGAGCCGTTGGAGAGTCCGAAGGTCGTTGGGTACTTTCGAAACAACATTACTCATGAATACAGGAGCATACTATGCGTTGAGAACTAGCTGCTTAGCGATCCCACGAATCAAACGCCTTTCAACGCATGGGGCAACATACAAAATTCGGGGCTGCACCGCAATGGCATGGCAAATCATGCGTGGCAAGGTGAAGCTTCCGCCTTTAGCTTCATCCTGGCCGAGCCTGGTGACGGCAACGTGGCATGAATTGCTTGGAAGGACGAACACGAGCGCTGCAATTTGGATACCCCAGAAACCCCGGGAGAGGCCGCGCACATCTCTCCGGTTCCGCGCCTGAGGCTTGCCTCACGAAGTAGCTCGTTGTGGCGGGCAGGAAGGATTCCTGGCGCAGCATGTCTGGGCCACCGGACCTCCAGGGGCCATGCGGAAATAGAGCACCCTTGTTAGCTGACATTAAAGCGAACCCCTGCAAAAATGGAGAAAAACAATTTGTTGTTGTTGTTTTTCTCGGGAGGTCTGGGGCGCAGTTCTGCCACCAGAGAGAATGCAGCAATGGACAGTGAAGAGCTTTCCTCCTTACTTCGACGAAACCATCGCGTGTTCCAGGAATCAAAGTCACTTCAACAGCCAGGCAAAAGTCCTACCAGCCGCACGAGTCCGCGTGTCTTCATCCGACAACAACTGCAGGTCAAGGAAGTGTCTTCAAATTTGGATCGCACATGGATGCTTCAAGGAAACCCAAAAGGAGAACCACAATTTCTATCGATCCTTTGGTTTTTTAGAGAAATGCTGGACACAGAGCGACCAAGATTCAGCCACGATCCTGCAAATACAGGGGGC